TCCCATCCCAGCTCCCTTTCCCTTTCCCATCCCTGCTCCCTTTCCCTCTCCCATCCCTGCTCCCTTTCCCTCTCCCATCCCTGCTCCCTTTCCCTCTCCCATCCCTGCTCCTCCCTGGTCCTATCCCTCTTCCCATCCTGCTTCCATCCCTGCTCCCTTTCCCTCTCCCATCCTCTCTCCCACCCCCTGCTCTGCCCAATCCCTGCATTTCCCACTCTGTGGATCCCCCCCTTGGAATCTTGGCCGGATGGGAGCCACGGCATTCCCAGGAACTCACCTCAGAGGGAAGGAGAGCTCCAGCTGCTCGATGACCTGCAAGGAGGGGAGGAGGGGACGAGGTTTAGCTGGGAGGGGACACGTCACACGGGTTTGGGGGACACTTGGGAAGCAAATCCCTGGATCTTACCGACTTCTGGGCGTCAAACATCAGGTTTTTGTAGAACTGGATGAAGTGGGAGAAGGTCATTTCATTCCTGGCTTCCACTTCCTGGGGGAGACGGGGCCGGAGGTGAGAGCGGGGCCACCCCACCGGACACAGGGACACCGGGGAGGCTCCAGCCCTCCTGGAAAAGCTGGAAAACCATCTCCCTCCCAGGTGGGGTGTCCAGGGGATCCTTACCACGAGTTTATCCCGCAGGAATCTCATGTTGGGAACGCGGTAGTTCACCTGGGGCAGCATCGCCTTCAGGTCCTTCACGGTGATGCTGCCGGAGCGGGAGACGGAGTCGGGTGGGAGAACCAACCCCTGGATGGGTCTCGGCTCCCAGTCTCGAGGTTCCCACCCCAAATCCTGGAGCCTGGCATGGGGATCCCACCCTCCCTGTGCCTGTGGATCCCTCCAGGCACAGGACCTGGAGAAATCATGGATGTCCCATCCCGGGAAGTGCTGAAGGCCAGGATGGACAGGGCTTGGAGCAACCTGGTTGTAGTGGAATTCCATGACCTTTAGGTCTCTTCCCACCCAAACCATTCCATGATTCCATGACCACGGGTGGAAAAGCAATGGAAATCGGGATCCCCGTGGCCCTCGCACCCAAATCTCTGATTTTCCGTGTCTCCAAGCATCCCAAAAAACCTGGTGCTCCCTCGTCCCACGTGGTGTTTGGCACAAGTGTGAGCAGAGGGCCAAGGAGAGGAAGCACATCCCAAAACCCAACTGGGCTCTCCAGGCCATCATCCCACCTGGAGATGATGCCCATTCCCATATCCCTCATAATTTAAGTGCAAATTCCCTTGATTTGGGGTTTTCCCTGCCTTTGGAAGTTGTTTCTGGGCTGCATTAACGGTCCAGCCCCTCCTGCCACTGGTGGAAAAGCAACGGAAATCGGGATCCCCGTGGCCCTTGCACCCAAATCTGAGATTTTCCGTGTCTCCAAGCATCCCAAAAACCCCGGTGCTCCCTTGTCCCACGAAGCCACCAGATTTGGGATGCAACCGAGGGAATCTGGTCCTGTCCTGCCAAACCCACCACTCACTTCCCAACTTGGGGCCGCGCCGGCGCTCACCTGCCTTCCCGCGCCCGGTCCATCCCGTCAAACTGCTTCCGGAGCCACCTGGGAAAGAAGGAAGGGACGGACACACAGCGCTCAGCGCCACGGAGGAGCAGATCCAGGGGGGATTTTTGTCCCTCAGACAGGGAATTGGGACCTGCCGGCGCTTGCCCACCTCTCGATCTGCAGCGGGGTCTGGGCCCTCTGGGTATCAGCCACCAGCCAGTTGAGCCCCGTTATCCAGAGGTTGATGTCCTCCTCACAGAAAGCTGGAAAAGGAGAAGGAGGGATGGGTGCTGTGGGATGCCGGGAAAGGGGTGGGATCCAGGGGGAGGGATCTGGGAGCAGGGAGGGAGCCCAACGCACCGGCCACGCTGAGAGTCCGCAGCCGGAAGTCCATCCCGTAGAGGATGATGAAGCACATGGTGAAGTCCAACTTCCGAGCGTCCTCGGGGTAGCGCTCGAAATCCCGGGAATTCTTGCCCAGGCGGATCTCCTTGATCTCCCGGATGTCGACTGCGGGGAGAGAGGAACATGGAAGCGGCCCCTGATGCCGTGGATTCGTGTGAGGGACTCGCGGAGGCTGCAGGAGGTGGGACTGCCAGGATGGGACATTCCCGGGAATGTGTGATGGAATTGCGGGTGCTGTGGCCACGCGGAGACGCGTCCCCGGCGCCCTCCAGGGATGTGTGATGGCGCCGTGGGCATGGCACGTCCTTCAGGGAACCGTGTCCCTGGAATGGGGGGATCTCCGTTGGGGTGGGATGGCATCATGGGTTCCATGGATGTGTGTCCTCCATGGATTTGTGTCCCAGGAATGGGGGGTCTCCGTTGGGGTGGGATGGCATCATGGGTTCCATGGATATGTGTCCTCCATGGATTTGTGTTCCAGGATGGGGTGTCCCTGCCTGTGTGACAGCACCATGGGTGCCATGGCCATGTGTTCTCCATGGATTTGTATCCCAGGATGTCCTGGGATGGGATGTCCGTGCTTGCGTGACAGCACCACGGGTGCCATGGCCATGTGTTCTCCATGGATTTGTATCCCAGGATATTCCCAGGATGGGATGTCCCTGCTTGCGTGACAGCACCACAGGTGCCATGGCCGTGTGTCCTCCAGGGATCTGTATCCCAGAATGTCCTGGGATGGGGTGTCCCTGCTTGTGTAACAGCACCACAGGTGCCATGGCCGTGTGTCCTCCATGGATTTTTATCCCAGGATATCCTGGGATGGGGTGTCCCTGCTTGTGTAACAGCACCATGAGTGCCATGGCCGTGTGTCCTCCATGGATTTGTATCCCAGGATATCCTGGGATGGGGATGTCCCTGCCTGTGTGACAGCACCACGGGTGCCATGGCTGTGTGTCCTCCAGTGATCTGTATCCCAGAATGTCCTGGGATGGGGTGTCCCTGCTTGGGTGCCATGGCTGTGTGTCCTCCATGGATTTGTATCCCAGGACATCCCCAGGATGGAATGTCCCTGCTTGTGTGACAGCACCACGGGTGCCATGGTCGTGTGTCCTCCAGGGAATCGTGTCCCCAGGACGGGATGTCCCCACAGCCCCACCTCCACGTGCCTGGTGACCCCCCACTCCCTGTGTCCTCCATGGATTCCCATCCCCAGGATGTGGCTCCCGACAGCGCTTCCCACACTTTTCCCAGCTCTGTGGCTGCCACGCGTCCTCCGGGCCCATCCTGCCCCATCCCAACCGGCCCAGGGCAGACCCTGGCATGGGCTGAGCTCAGCTTTTAATTGGAGCCTCTTCCCAAAAGTGGCAATTTGAGCTTGGACCGCAGGGCGTTGCTTTCCTGCTGCTCTGCTCCCTCATTATCCCGCTAAATAAAGCTCCGGCGGCGTTGGAAGGGCCGGGTTTCCGGAGCCTGCTCTTCCTCCGCCACGGGAGACTTCCAATTTTCCCAGTGGATTTGTCCCACCGGGAGCAGAATAATAACACATTATTAGGAATGACACCCAAAGTTGTTCCCGATCCCACAACCATCACCCCTCCCCTGGGAAAGGTTTGGACTCTGGGAATGAGCCAGGGACACCGGAAAGGGCTTTGTGTGACCGGGAGCGGTTGGACCCCGAGCCTGGGCATTGTCCTGCCGAGGAAATGGGTCATTTCCCGGAGAATTTCCAGCCCCGGCCGCGCTTCCGATGTGGGATGTGGTGGTGGGGAAGAGCCCACGGAGCCTGATCCACAGTGGGAAAAGCAAAGGCTGAAGGCAGGGAGGGAAAAGGGATGGGGGAGGAATGGGGGCTGATTAAGCAAGAAAAGAGGGGCCGGGGAGTTTTTCTTGGCGGAAAAGCTCCAGAAAACACTGGAGGCTTTATCCAGTTGTTTTTTTTTTTCTGCTGGATGACCGCAAGCCAAATTTCATGGATCAGGGTGGGATTTTAGCACAAGTGGCACACGGGGGCTCTGCAGCCCGGCACGGGCTTTGTTCTGGGACAAGATCCCAAGAAATCAAATCCCGTTGTCTCCGTGGGGCTCCCGGGGCTCGGAGAAAACTCTCCTTGGGACAAACAGGTAGATTTTTTTTGGGGGGGAAAAACGGGTTTATGGGTTAAAAAACAGCTGCTCAACCCCCAACCTGCCCATCCACAGGGAGAGGGGAGAAGTCAGAGGATACCAACAGGCCACAAAGGTGTATTCTTTGGATTCCACATCTCCGGGATCCAGCCTTGGACCAGACCTCTGGGTGCTGCCAATAATCCCAGGGTGGTTTGGGTTGGAAGGGAGCAGAAGGATCATCCAGTTCCAACCCCCTGCCATGGGCATGGACACCTCCCACTATCCCAGATTGCTCCAGCCTGGCCTGGAACACTTCCAGGGATGAGGCAGCCACATATTCTCTGGGAATTCCAGTCCAGCCCCTCACCACTCTCACAGCCAAGAATTCCTTCCCAATATCCCATCTAACTCTCTGGCAGTGGGAAGCCATTCCCTGTGTCCTGTCCCTCCATCCCTTGTCCCAAGTCCCTCTCCTGCTCTCCTGGAGCCCCTTTAGGCCCTGCAAGGTGCTCCAAGGTCTCCCTGGAGTTTTCCTTCTCCAGGCTGGACATTCCCAGCTCTCCCAGCCTGGCTCCAGAGCAGAGGAGCTCCAGCCCTTGGAGCATCTCTGTGGCCTCCTCTGGATTCACTCCAGCAGCTCCACATCCTTCTAATGTTGGGAATTTCTGGGTTGGAGGCAGCTCTGCAGGTGGGGTCTCACCTGAGTGGGGCAGAGGGGCTGAATCCCACCCTCTCCTGCTTCCCATGCTGTGGGACGAGCCCAGAACACAGGGAATTCCTGCTTTTCCACCCACCAACACCCCGAAATCCCTCTCCCCGTGGCAAAGAGCCCATTCCCACACAGAACCAGGGGAAGAGGGAGCGGCTGCACAAAACAAGGGAGCCGGAGCCGGGAGCTTCCTGGAAACCACATCTGCGGCGGATTTGCAGGGATCACGTCGGAATTATGCCTCCAAACTCCTCCCAGCATTGTCTCCCGGGATCCCAGGGCGATTAAAACACTCTGGAAGGATTAAAACACCCTGGAAGTCGCCTCCAGCTGCGAAAATCCCTTTTTTTCTTTTCTAATGCAAAGCGAGCAGCTCCCGGGGCAAAGAGGATTTGGAATGGTGGGAAGAGCAGGTCCTGCCCAGCGGGTTTTAGGGATGCTGAGGGAAGGCCTGGGAATTTTTTTCAGGCCTTAGGAGGAAAAAGGGGATGGAGGGAACGTTGTGCTGGGAAATCCCAGCTCTGGTGGCACAAGCCACGTCCACCTGAGTCATCCCTTCTTCCAGGACACCTGGAAGCTCAGAATTCCCTCCAGGGGGGAATCTGGGAGACAGTGTCCCCCTGAGAATTCCCGTGGTGGGATTTAAAACCTGAAAGAAAATATCCCTCCTGCTCCAGCAGTGATAAATCCCACTGGAATTTTCTCCTCCCCAAAAAATCCCATTTCTAATTCTTTGGCATTAACGAGGCTGGAAGTGTCACCTCTCCAAAATCCTCTTGGATTTTCCATGCTGCCTTCACCCCTGTTGTTTTTAATTTCTTATAAAGATCCTTTTTGGGTTGTTTTCTGCCAGATTCCCTGTGCTGGGAATTGGGATTTGCTGAGGGTGAGGAGCTGGGAGACCTCCAGGATGAGGTTAATTTTGGGGGTGATGTCCCAGGTGATCTCAGGCCTGGACATGGATCTCGGGCCTGGACATGGATCTCGGGCCTGGACATGGATCCTGGGCCTGGACATGGATCCCAGGCCTAGACATGGAATAAAGGAATGGACATGGATCAAAGGCACGGACACAGATCCCAGGCCTGGACACAGATCCCAGGTCTAGACACAGATTCCGGGTCCGGACACAGATCCCAGGCCTGGACATGAATCCCAGGCCTGGACAGGTCTAGACATGGATTCCAGGCCTGGACACGGATCCCAGGCCTGGACATGAATCCCAGGCCTGGACATGGATTCCAGGCCTGGACATGGATTCCAGTCCTTGACACGGATCCTGGGCCCAAATACAGATCCTGGGCCTGGACACGGATCCCAGATCTGGAAAGAGATTCCGGGTCCGGACACAGATCCCAGGCCTGGACATGAATCCCAGCCATGGACACAGATCAAAGGAATGAACACGGATCAAAGGCATGGACATGGATCCCAGGCCTGGACACGGATCCCAGGCCCAGACATGGGTCACAGTCCTGGACATGAATCCCAGGCCTGGACACAGATTCTGGATCCGGACACAGATCCCAGGCCTGGACATGCATCTCAGGCCGGGACACAGATTCCAGGCCTGGACATGAATCCCAGGCCTGGACACAGATTCCAGGTCCAGACACAGATCCCAGGCCTGGCCATGGATCCTGGGCCCGGACACGTGTCCATCAGCCACTTAACGAAGCATGTAATTATCCTGGGAGTCCAGGGGAGAGCCTGGATCCATGTCCTGGCCCTGACAATTCCTAACAGAGACATCAGCCCTTCCCACTAATCCCTCTCCCAGTGGGATGTCGGTCGGAAGGGGGGATTTGAAATGGCCCTGGCAGGCGTGAGGTCCGGGAGATCCCGGCACTTCCATAACATCCCGGAGAATGGGAGGATGTGGGAGCACCAGGAGCTGGGTCAGGGGGTGGAGATGTTCCAGCCTGGCACTGAGACAGGGATTGCTCCCACTCCAAGCGAGTGGTGGGGTTGGATGGAAGGACTGCACCATTCCCAGTGGGATTTTCCTTTTGTTTTCCTCTTTCTGGATGACCTTAGGGGGTGTCTATTCATTCCCACGGGAAAAGCCAGACCCCAAGGCACCAGGGGGGAAACTGAGGCACGGAATCATGAGTGACCCAACATCCCAACCCGGCAGCGTGTGGCGCTTCCAGAAAAAACAAGGAGCTGGGAATGCCGTATTTCCATGACTGGATAACGAGCTCTTCTCCATGAGGATCTAAACCACTTCTCCAAGAATGGGTGTCCTTCCTCCCATCACTCATCCCACTCCTCCGGCTGCCACCCTCCTTCCCAGCTCAAAGCCTTTCCATGGCTGGAATCCGGCTTGGGATCAGCCCCTCTAAGCCCCTCCAGGGAAAAGGCACCTCCCAGACCTCCAGGGTGGGCTTTGCCGTCATCCAGGGGAGGTGATATCCCAAAACCGAGTTCCTTCCCTGCACGGGATGTGGGATGAGGTGAGGGCGGAGCTCCAGGTCACCCCAATCCCGGG